AAATATATCAATAAAACATTGTGTTCAATTGATACATATCCATACATACATACGTTTGTGTACATGTACGTGTACATGTATGTGTATGTGTAGTGGTGTTTCATTTTAATTGCAAATGTTGGGTTTTTTAATCGAAGAATTTACAATTTTTTTAAATCAGAGAATTTACTATTTTTAAACAGAGAAAAACAGAGAAGCTGGCCCTGTGATCAGTAAACACAAAGCCTGTTCTGACTTTTATCTTTTTGCCAAGCTATTTCTGCTTGCAATTTAAAACCTCCCCAAACAAGCCCTCAGCCAGGTATTCATTCCTCTCCCCTCCCATGTTCATCTTAGGTGTGATGATTTTTCTCATTCCTTTTTTCTCCTTTGATAAACTGTCTAAAATCACATGGTGGAGCTGGTAGAGTCAGGGCCAGAAATTAGAACTTAGTACAGGTTTTGTGTATGGCTCCTATGACTATCTCCAACTACCTGAATTCCAACCCAAGTCACTACAGGAGCTACAGACTATTTAGAATATTTGTTAACTGGCAAGAAGGATTTTTAATGTTATTTGTAATTACTCTAAAAGTTAGTAAATAACACTGCAGAATAGTTTAAAAAAAACAAATACTCAAATACTAGGGAAACTCTTTCTTTGCAGTAATACTGATTCTTGCCTTAGTTGTGACGACATAGTTCCCAGGAGACCGGCTTAAAATGTGAAATGAACATTTACTCTACCTGGTCTGGTCAATTCACTGAAGAGCTGAAGCAAAAAACAGGGATCATAGAGCTCATTAAGATCCTTCACACTTTCATCCCTATACAACAGCACTTGTCCTTCCTGAAACAAAACCCAAAATACAAAGGTTTTTAAGTTCAAACTAGCGCAACAACCCCACCACAATATTAAAACCCTGTCAATATTAGAAAAAAAATGCTGCCAGCCACAATGTATTTAAATATGGCTTTTGCTGCCAGATTTTCAGTATTGTTTACCTTGACCAACACATGTAGCATGAGCAAACTAAGGTAGAGGGAAACTAGTCTAGGAAATCCAGTGCAAATGAATCAAACTATAGGTGAATTTACATCGTTACCTAGAAGTTAAATTTTGATCCCTTTTATACCATGGCAACCTCAATGAATTCAGTGGTGCTGCACAGGAAAAATCGAAAGAGAAATGTGGTGTACACTGCAATTAATTAAAAAAATATGTTTTGCTCAAAATAGAATAGGAAAACCATAATCTGTGAAATGATGCCAGCTAAATAATCCAGCTGTCTGGTTAAGTCTCTCCAAAGCAAACTACATATAAAAATATTGCATGTAAAATATTACATTCAGAAAACTATTACCTTATTTACCCGAACTGAAGACAACTTTGAATTCAAGACAACTCTCCCAATAAATATATTCTATACATAGATAATCTATACATTTGTTATAATCTTCCATGTACTGAATCTAAATATTGGAGGGTTTTCTAAAATTTGTACTTCACACCCCCGCTACAGCGGGGAACAGCAGCAGGGGGCAAGCTCTAGGAGAAAAGCAAGCAGCTGCACACCCGACCCCCACCCCCATCCTTCCCTGCCATACACCAACAGTTTAGGTTCCCACCCTGAGATGCAACTGATGGGCATGAGGGGTCAGAAGCAGGCATGGGGGAGGCAGAAGGGTAAAGGCAGCTGCTGTGACTCCAACTCCAGCCCCAGATTTAGGCGTCGAAGTCAGAACTGCTGCAGCCACCTGCACCTCTCCCCCACAGGCACCCTGCCTTGTATTCGAATCCAAGACAAGTGTTTTTTACCCCCATACGGGCAGGCAGGAGGGAAGGGGGGGGCCACAGGGGAAAAATACCTTGTCTTGGATTTGAGTAAAGATAGTAATAAAGAGGTCCAAAGGGCTGTTTCCACATTGTAAAAGAATATATTAAGAGTTGGTTCAAAGTACCTGTGGTGGCAGAAGACGGCGATGCTGAGGGAAGTGCAGAATAGTCTTCATCATCATCTCTCGATCTAATAGACACAAAATTTCCTCCATGCTTGGCTGCTGCCACAGTGACTTCCCTAGACTCTTACAAGTCTTGTGGTGTTCCACAGCTGCTGGACCCCATAAAAGGATCCTGAAATACCATTAAAAGTAAAGGCATTAGTTAACAGTTCTTTAGTATGGCAACAAAAGCAACTATAGAAGCAGGATCAATTTATAAAGGTTAAAAATTAGTATTTAAATTTTCCCTTCACTTGTGCTCATTATCCCAGACACCTTACAGTAGAAGCTGTTTCCCTCAGAAACATCTCTCTCATTCATCCTAAAACTTTTCCAATTCAGGCTGATGGTGTTCCTTTAGCCATTTCCTATCCTACAAAGCTAATTCTGTGCAGTTTCTCAATTACTTATTTTTACTCAAACCAGAATGATCAGGAATGAATGTGCTAGTTACCAGCACCTGAAACTTGATCAAACTATGCAAAACCAAGAATGTCTTGGAGTTTATTAAATTTTAAGCCACTGTCAAAATGGTCCCATCATCCCATAAAAAATCCCCATCTCCTTCTTCAAATTGCTCCTAAAAACCCACTTATTTTTCTTAGGGTTATTACTGCTCTTTTTCATCAGGATGGTACTAGCAAAGAATAGGGTGCCTGATGAAGGAGCAAGAAGAGAAAGACTATGCCACCAATTGTTTACAACCTAACTAGGCTCCCTGCAATGAATTACTATGGTTGCCTGCTTACATTCTCCAGTATTTTCCTTGATTTGTTCTGTATTCATTCACCTTAGGAAGGACGTGGAGAAGCTTGAAAGAATCCAGAGGAAAGCCACGCGCATGATCAGAGGGGAAGAGAACAGGCCTTATGAAGACAGGCTGCAAGCTACGGGACTCTTCAGCCTGGAGAAGCGCAGGCTCAGGGGTGACATGGTGGCAGCCTATAAGTACATAAGGGGTGTGCATCAGGATCTGGGGGAAACACCTGTTCACCGGAGCACCCCACGGGATGACAAGGTCCAATGGTCACAAACTCCTGCAAGACCATTTTAGGCTGGACGTAAGGAAAAACTTCTTCACTGTCTGAGCCACAAGGGCCTGGAACAGACTTCCCCCAGAGATGGTGCAAGCATCTACTCTGGACACTTTCAAGAAACATTTGGACACTTATCTTGCTGGGATCCTTTGACCCTAGCTGAC